CCACCCCCACCGTCACGCCTGCCTGCCTCCCAGCTGCGTCCGCCGCTGTCCTGTCTGGCCGCCCGGTGTCTGCTCCGCTGCTCCGCGCTCTGCCCCGCTCCCACCCCGGACCCGAAGCCTCTCTGCCTGCTCGTTCACCGCCCCTTCTCCCCGGACCCCCCCTCCACCCGGTGAATGCACCAGCGCCGTAAACATGACGGGCATCGCCGCCGCTTCTTTCTTCTCTAATTCCTGCAGGTTCGGGGGCTGCGGGCTCCAGTTCGAGTCTCTCGCCGAGCTCATCGTCCACATCGAGGACAATCACATCGGTGAGTCGGGCCGGAGGGGGAGTCGGAGCTAGACGGCTAGCTGCTGCTAGCTAGCGCCCTAGCTAGCTAGCTAAACGCAGATAGGCTCGGCTTTTGCATTCCGCTATTCCTGCCGCTCGCTGTCCGTCGAGCCTCCGTCGGAGTGCGACTTATTCGGCAACTTTTATCATTTCCAGAGCGGCGTTTTCCTGTGAAATACGCCGCGGGGGATGCTTTTACTTTGCATTAGCTGTGACAGTTACCTTTGCAGCGGTAACTCGGCAGCCAGGGCCCGCGAAGGTCTCATAGGTGTAACTAGCATCCCGGGGCTGGCAGCGGTTTCACGGCTAACGCTGCTGGAGAGTCTGTGTTTACATTTCCAGGCCTGATGCAGAGCAGCCGCGGCTCCTCTCACACCGCTGCCCAAAACTCTGTCAGGACCGTCACCTCGGCTTTCTCACCGCAGCAGGACATCACCTCTTCCATTATGTCACTTAATTACCACAGTATCAGCTGAACCAAGTTGTAGCAGACGAATCGTGCCATAATTAGGTTATCATCCAAGATCCAACTTGTTGCATCGCTTATTAGATTTTGTCAGACAGTGAACCCTCTGATGATCAGCTTACGCACCATTTGACATAACAGAGAGCAAAGAAACACTATGTTTAAGTATAAAAGTACATTTTTGGTGCTATAAGTAGTTACATTTCAACAGCTAATGTTTGTGGATTCTCAAAAAAGATGCTTTAATTGCATTGTGAATGAATTAAACTGCCTCTCTTAGCAGGATTTAAAGTGTTGAAAAGTCACCAGCATCCTCTATTTCAGTTGAGGCAGGGCTCCTTCCTATTGCTCTGATATAGCTGTGGGAAAAAAAAGCTGTCATATATAGTCTAATTAGTACCCTGCAGTGTAATACTTGTTAAATATTCAACAGTATTTGCAGCACAGATCAAACTCTTGCTTCTACTTACACACTGTATAATCCAATCTGGTAGATTAAACTGTAATCCGCCAGAAAAATGATACTATAGAAGTGTTCGGGGAGTTGTGAAGCTGCAAAACGCTCACTAATGTGTAGCAACACTGACAAGGGCTAATCATTATTTGTGGCGTGTATCCATCCTCATGAGGCTGTTTGAAGGGGGCGAGGCGGGGGGGGTAAAATGGATGCTTCGTTGAGCCAGTCTCCATGGCAACTGGCAGTCTCTAACAGGGCTGGGGGCAGTATATTGGCGGAGTTATTACACACCTGCTGTCTCACTAACAAAGAGCCGAGCTGCCAGCTGTGGCGAGGACGCCCGGCGTGATGTCACCTCACATGTGGGACGGGGCTGATGTGCAGATGTTTAAAAAGAGGGTTAAGTTTTAGGGTGACTGTGTTAGTGGGTGAGAAGAAAGTGGAGCAGGAGGGGAGCCGCTTTTAATTTTAACCCATATGCTCACTGGATCCCCTCCAAATTAAACAGGGGAGCAGTGAACCCATCATTTGATTTTTATTCCACTGCATAGGCGACCTGATTCTGTGCAGTCTGCCTTATTCCCCAATCACCAAAAAAATCACAAAACTGACAGAAATGCAGATATTATTTTCTCAATCCCTCAACCCTCAAACACCACAGACACTGATATATGCCCCATCTGCCTCCTAGCTTGACCTTTGACCCCCCAACCGTCAGCTGAGCAGAATGGCAGTTTACTAGTCAGATCTCTTCGGATTAATGAATTACCCCTCTGCTCGCTTCGTACCGCGCCTGGTCATCAGCGGTGTCAAGATCACACACAGTCTAATCAATACTGCTTGCAGATCAGTTACTACGGGGATTAGCGTGACAGATGGAGGGGATTGGAGGGAGAGTGTGGGAGAGAGAGGGGGGCGAGTTGCATTTGGCTTTGACTCTCCTTTTGATTTTGAAGTTGTGCCGCGGCGTGTGATCAATAATCAATCAAGCAGAAAGCCGATTTGATCTTCCTAATTTTTTTCCACCTGAGACGTCAGGTGAGCTGTGAGGAGATTGTATTGATTGTTCTTTCAGTGTGCTCACAGATTATGAAAAAGCACACAGCAACCATAAATCAATTAGCCTAAGCAGTGACTAAAACCTTGTGCTGTGAGATGTAAGAACTTGTGGAAGTGAGGTTGCAGAGATCAGTGAAAGGCCTGTGTGCTTGAAACATTTGGTCATTACAACAGACTGTGCTGCCCTCTTGTGGTAGGGCAATTTGTGTGCTACATTGCCGCAACAGTCCCAATTTGTTTCTGATTTTGGACCGCTGTTGAAGTCACTTATCTCAGCTTGCATCTTATTTGGACTCCTGCCTTCTCTGACACCACAATAGCTCGCCGCAAGCAGACCAGATGAGGCTGGCATGATCCTTTCCGTGAGAAAACTGGGTAATGTGTGGGTCCTTAGTGCTGACCTCATCCTAGAAGAAAGGGTAGCGGCCTTCCAATGACATGCCCGCACTGTTTAGATTACAGCTGAATGCCAGAGGAACTGGATTAGGTGGACTGTGTTTAGTGCGGTTGTTGTCGAAGGCTTTGTGTGGTGAGTCTAGGTAAGGTCTGAGGAATGTAATGATGTCAGGCGCTCTGTGCGTGCGTGCACATCGGCAGTGTGCTGTGTTCTCACCTGCACAAGCACATACCTGCCTCTTACCTCAGCAAAAAAAGAGCAGGAAGGGAGGGAGGAGGCAGATAGAGATTAAAAGTGGGGAAGAGATTTGAAAGAGAAGGTTAAGAAAGCAAAAACATGGGTGTGAGTACGAGGAAATCCCAAACATGTCAGCTTTGTTTGGACGGAGTTTACGTGGATATTTTGGTTTGGATTTGGTTTTACATCTGGATTCAAAGATTGAGCTGTGATTTGACGTGACTGCTTACAATGGCACTGTGTTGTAATGATATGGTTTTTAGTAAAGCACGTCAATCATTAGTCTGCAGTAACTTTTTAATGATATAATCATCACAGGATGGAGAAGTAGTTTTTAACCATCTAATACTAACAGATGGCAAACCATTCTGCCTTTATGTTGTGAATAAAGTTATTGGCTGAATTATAGTACACAACAGAAGTGCGTACACCACTGTGCGATATCATTAAAGTGTCAAATAATTCAAATTTGTATTGCCTCTTAATAATTGATTGATAAAAAAGTAGAGTATTTTCTCAACAAAAGGGAATCTCCTGTGATCACCAACACACAGATTAGAGAACTTGTGTTCACTGAAACTAAATTGATTGCACCTGTGATTTCGAATTAGCCTAACTGCATGCACATGGTTAGAAAGTGACCTTTGAACATCAGAGCGTTCTCATTTTCTTTTAAATCTATGGACTTAGTTTATCTGCATGTCTGTATTATTGGTCCACATGGGAAAAAAAATTTGAGAGGAATTTAAAAAGCTGACAGTGCGACTTTACACAGATGGAAACGGGTAAAAATACTGGCAAAAATCAGTCAAAACACAGCTACAGCAGTGATTAGGAGATACAGAACAAGCTGTAGGACCACTAATCAGAGCTGCACATCCTAAAATACCACCTCAAACAGTGCACTACCTGCATCTAGCTCTGAACAGAGATGCAAGTGCTTCAAACTTGGCACAGGAACTATCAATGGAAGTCCGAGTTTCTGTGACAGCAGAGAAAGCGCGAAGAACGTCGTATACTGTCAGCTTCTATGGCATCCAAAAAAAACATAGCTGCTTGTTCTCCAGCACAAAACCGCAAGAGGAAACCTGGGTTAAGGACTTGAACAGAATCCAGATAAATCTCGGGAGCACATTCTTTGGTCAGATGAGACCAAGATGAATGGGTTCAGCTCAGGTGGGGCATGTTTGGTTTGACCCAGGGCAGGACTAACACAGTGAATGCATGGTCCTGACAGTGAAGCTCAGAGGTGGGAGATGATGATCATGATGGGGTTGCATGAGTGCAGAGGGTGTTTTGGAGATGATATTTATAGATGGCACCATGAGTGCCTGTGGATATACCAGCATAGAGTGGCTGAATAAAACAGTGTCTGCAGAATGGCAGAATATGGCAGAAATTTGGTATCCTTAATGCTATGACGGATGGAGTCTGTCGTGTAAGAGATTTGAATGTCAGTAAGGACTTTTGTTGCATTTAGTTTCTACTGTGGGGCCTGTATTTTTGATATAGTAAATGTAAACTCTTAGTTTTCACCTTTACATAAGAGCAAATACCTCACTGTTGTAATCAGAAGTAATGTGATTCCTGTAAGGTGATACGATTTTGAATAATTTGACATTTAAGCGATATAACACAGGAGTGTACTCACTTTTGCGATATACTGTATCAGAATTTCTCTTTGTTTCTTGAATGTTGAGTGTGACTTTGCAAAACGTCATAATTCAACACAAAACTTTCTTTTAGCTTCTAAGGTGTTAAGATGTTCTGCTTTTCTCTGTTGTACATGATACTAAGCTGAAAGTTTTAGAATTTTGGACAGATGATCAGATAAAACAGTCGATACTCATAATTATTTAGGGGACTAATCAGTGAAAAAAAAAAGCTGTCCCTGAAATATGTTGAAATTGACAAAAGTAATAATAAATAAAAATGTAATGAACATCATGACATTGCTTTTGAATTGTGGTTCAACAGAAATATAAAAACAAACAAAAAAACAACAAGCATGATGGGACCTGTATTGTTGAACAACCCTTTGAGCCAATCACTGCAATCAAGTGTTTTCTGTAACTCTCAATCAGACTTCTGCACCTGTTGATTTAGATCAGGGGTCTCGAACTCCAGTCCTCGAAGGCCGCAATCCTGCAAGTTTTAGATGTTTCCTTCTTCCAACACACCTGATTCAAATGATCAGCTGAGCATCAAGCTCTGCAGAAGTCTGATAACGATCCTGATCATTTGAATCAGGTGTGTTGGCAGAAGGAAACATCTAAAACATGCAGGATTGCGGCCCTCGAGGACCAGAGTTTGAGACCCCTGATTTAGATGGTGGCCCACTGCTCATCAGCAACGTGCTCTAATTTGTCTGGGACAGTTTTTTTTTTTTTTTAAATCATTCTTTTCAGCCACAATTCAAAAGCAATGTCTAATTCACTAAATTATAATTTAGCAAATTTTTATTTATTATTACTTTTTCAGTTTCTAGTTATTGAGTGACTTTTTTTGTGAATTTTGCCTTTTCTTTAATGGAAGGGTATGAACACATTTGAGGACAACTGTATGGGATTTTTCAGCATATAGAGATCCAAATCAATTTCAGAACTTTATTTCTATATTTTTATTAATATGATAAGGATTGTGGCTATTTAGTTGGGTCTTACGTGCCAAATTGTTTCCCATCCCACTTTTAGAGGTGTGACACGGGAAGGGGTGTGTGTGTGTTTGTGCACATGAGAGCGTGTGTTCCCCATACTTCCTAAATGACCTGTCAGGGTGTAGCGGAGCAATTATTGGACTGGCATCCCAAACTGGAAACTGCAGACCCTCTTTTTTCACACACACATTGCCTTTCAGAAGTCGCAAGGTCTGAGCGCCCCACCAAGCACTAGGAAGTGTAATTACAGAGAAGTTTGCCTTCCCTCCTCCCCCCTCCACCCATATCCCCCCCCTTTGCTCCCGCTCCTCCTCTCCTCTCGCTCCATCCGGTTGCCTGCTGCTCTAGAAACACGTTAAAATGCTCTCTGTGGCTTAATTAGCAGGCTGCAAAACAAGCCATGCATTCTTGGCCTGGTTTCAACACACACACACACACATGAAGGCGCACATACACAGACCTCTGCACGGTGTGCTCGTACATGTGGACGCATGCAGACAGGGCGTATTCAGCAGGGGGCAGCAGTGTGCCGTTGGTGAAAGATGGATGTGTGTTTTGTGAAATAAGTGAAGTGGCTGTTGATTGGGTGCTGCTTTCAGGAATGTTAATTAGGGATATATTTACAGACCTTAGAGACTTTGAAATGTATCAGCCATGGAGCACACATGCACTGAAGTACAGGACAAGCGAGCGCTTCCAGTAGCCTACTGATATTATGTGCTGTGAGTTTGAAATTAAACTTTTGGATTAAATAAGTCAAAATTGATACACGTGTTGCTTGGGAGTGTTCGCGTGCAGGTCTGTCTCCTGCTACAGCGGCAGGATCAGCAGCGTGTTAGCTTCCTGTCTTGCTAGGTGAGCGGAAGTCGTAAAAGCCGGCGAACATTTACTACAGCTCTCGCTCTCCGCACCTGGCTTACTCCATTTCCACCAACACCCCTCCCCCTTCGCTACACACACACACACACACACACGCACACACACACTTACCTCATCCACAATCCTCAGCTCCTTGTACATCCCAAGTAATTAAAGCTTGCAATTTTTCTTCCCTGTATTTTTGCTTTTCTGCCCTTAAGGTACCTTTTAATGTGGCAAATAACATTTTCATTGTCAATTAATCTGTCGATTATTGTCTTGATTAATCAGTAAGTTGTTTAGTCTATAAAATGTCAGAAAAGGGTGAAAAATGTCCGTCAGCGTTTTCCAACACCTCACCATGTCCTCAAATGCCTTGTTTTGACCACATTCAGTGTACTTTCATAGGGGAGTAAAGGAGCCAAATGTAGAAGCCTTGAGAAGAGAATTCAGACCTTTCTTTTATTAAAAAAATTACTCAAAACCGTTGACAACTAATCGATCAATCATTGCAGGTCCGCTGCATTGGGCTGATTTTTTTTTCACCACAGTTAGACTTCCTGGTACTTCTGAGCTGATGCGACTATATGGAGGTTTGAGTCAGTTTCTACAAAATTCTAGAAAGATGAGATTAGATGATCGTTTAGTTCATCAACTGAAAACTTTCTCACCATGAAAGAATCACTTGACACAGAAAGATTTTGCTGCTACCAAGTGTGCTCTTCTCTGACGTACAAGATTAGACATTGAATTTGGATATGTAGAAAACAAGTCATGTAAAGATGCCACTTTGGACTCGTAGAAATTATAAATCTATATCCATTGACAAATTTACTTTTAAGATTTGTTGACCCTCAAATATCCTTAGACAAACTCTGTAGTCATCCTTGCCATCATCTCCCCTGCATCGCAGTTTATACAGATGCAAAAAAAAATATTGCCATCCTAGAATTTTCCCAGTGTCGTTCAGCCTGGCTGGTGGTTTCCAAAAGGTCAGACCTCAGGATGCTGGTGTCTCTCACTGTCTGTCACGTCTCATGACTCAGCCCTGTGAGTGATGTAGGTCGAGCTCTGGTCTCTACATCAGAGCAGCAGGTAGGATTATTAAGGCTCAGCTATAAAAAACTGTCAAAGACCACCTCTGTGGACCACCTTATGTGTGTGTGTTTGTGTGTGAGCCTGTGTGTGTGATCAGGGATGTATAGTCCTGATATTTTACTGTTCCTTGCCTAACCTTTTTAAGCTATATGTTTTGAAAGTCACTTGTATAGGTCTCTGGATTGTACTCCCAGAGCAGTAGTGAGGAGTGTTTTTTTCTGAGTTGTTTTCTCCCTCTCTGGTCTTCTTGGTGTTCTCCTGCACTGTGGGAAGTCTGCATTCTTTTTTAATTATGAGGTGTGAAAGCCTGAAAACCAAAGGGCTAAGAGGGCCAGCACACACTTGGGATTAGTTGGAAGGAGCGTCCTGCAGTGTGTTGTGAATCGTTGCACGGAGATGGTCGAGTCCTTGGATCTGAATTGCAATACATCTGCTATCCATTACATATGCAGCAATTATGCCTACATGTGCACACAAACTCACACGGACAAAGATGCCATGGCATAAACCTATTAGTTTTTTTTTTTCTAGTTGGGCTCCTTCTGAACGTCCCCCTGTTGAACACTTGATGGCACTGGTAGTTCACAGATGCAACCCACCCGCAGTGTTTTCATGCACACTTGCTCCTGTTTTCCAGGGGGTGGGAGGTGGGACTTTGAAGTTAACGCTGCTTCCCCCAGGCAGTGGAAGTTGCCTACTGTAGTGTTACTGACTTAGCAAGTCAACTGGAAAAAGCGCGCGTGTGTGTGCGCGTCTTGGCTAATACACTGTGTACATTCATCACTGCCTCCGAGTTGCTCCTTCACTCTCGGACAAATTTCTTCTTTGCCACATTCAGACTCGGGCAATAATTAAGCAGCCTTGGGTCATTTAGGGAAAAGCATCGGTTGTAAATTAGAGAGAGCTCGGTGCTGGCGCAATAATGCGGCACTTATGAAAGCATCTGAAATGTATCTGCAGGGTGCCACACATTATGAACCGATACAGAGAACCCAGTGTGAGAAACATCCACTAATCTATCAGCCTGTCTGGCAGGAAGAATACATGTATGAGTCAGCTACATACTAAGAGTATTCACTCAACATTTTCCCTTCACAGGGAGAGGTGATTAATCTGAATGTCTCTTTCTCTCTCAGACACAGATCCGCGGGTTTTGGAGAAGCAGGAGCAACAGCAGCCCACTTATCTGGCCTTAAGCTACATCAACAGGTACACACACACATTCACAAACACAACTTGAAAAGTGTCCGTCTACAGAGGGCAGCATTGTTCCACCGGTGAAAGTCTGCGTCCTGCATTGTGCGTGAGTGTGCGTACATGTGGCTTGCGGAGGGCATCTCAAATTACTCATGTCTTCCCATAGACACAGCAGTGACTCATCCACAGACCAGCTCTGAAAAACCACACAAGACAATCGGTCCTGACTCCCAGTGCTGCGAACGGCACAGCCAAAGGCAGCGTTTCAGGATTACGACATGTGTGTGTTTTTGTGTGGTGAACCGATGTGTCACATTCTACTTAATGCCCCGTTAAATCACTCTAGGACGTAACAGTGAGAAAGATAATGGTAAAACAGAGAGAGAAAGGGAGATTGAGGTTTGTTTTTTCTGTGATAATCGTTCGAGTGGCAAGGTTGTAAATGTCATCCATATTTACTGTGCATGTTGCAGCTGTATGTTTAAAGGGACACTGTATTCAGCAGCGCAGTTGTGTCTAAATCCACCACAAACATCCTTCTATCCTTCTAAAAGCAACGATCTATACAACAGCTATAATTAGATGACATGAAACATTAAAGGCTGTTATTTAGCGTAACAAATCCCACAAGTTTTGCGGCAGCAGAACAGACAGTAAGTTGTCCTTTTATTTGCAAATAATGAGAACAGGAATGATGTATAGACCGAGTTGTTGTTAACAGTAATCATACTAATATTTTTCGAGCAATGTTTGGCAATGCAGAAGGATGTTTGACCGGCACCGCCTCTATTTATAGAGCGCTCGAGTTAGCATTAACACGGCTGTCACATGCAAGCTTGTTGATGAATGATATTGCATGCAGGGATGAGATGTCTCGGCCAAATAATTAAAAGAAAATTGCATTACAAAGCCACCAAAATAGGTCATTTCAGAGTATAGAGATAATTTGTCCACCAGAGAGCTATGACAAGTAGATTTTCCACAGATATAAACCCCGATCACCATGTAAAAAAAAAAAAAAAACAAGTCTAAAGGATCTGTGTGAAGATTTTTATGTTATTAATTTAAGCTGTGGGTGAATATTATTATTTGCCTAAGGAATATAGTATTGGATTGAATGCTAAGTGAGGACACCTCTTGTGTGCCGCCAGGTTCATGACGGATGCAGCCCGTCGGGAGCAGGAGACCATGAAGAAGAAGGCCACACCCAAGCTGTCCCTGTCCATCACGGGCGGAGTGTCCAGGAACAGCACGGCCACACCTCCCCGCCACACCAGCGGTAACCTGACGCCTCCCGTCACGCCCCCCATCACCCCCTCCTCCTCATTCCGCAGCAGCACACCTACAGGTACGACAGGTGTGTGTGTGTGTGAGTGTGTGAGAGTGAGTGAGTGAGTGTGTGCTTGTGATGAGGAAAGATAGATTGCGTATACATGTGGAGGGAATGGAGGTGTTGAAACTGACTGAATGCAAATTACTCCAACTGGCAGAAACAGAGAAAAAGCTTAGAGTTATGATTGCGCCATCAGGAGTGTATTCATCAAATCCGACAGCGCACTGAGGAGCAAATGAAGATAGTTGTAACGCGAATGGAATGCAGCTTTTTTTCATACCTGCTCAATGACTCTGTATCACAAAGTGAAAACTCAGGAATACCTGTCAGCAGCTCAAGAGCTTGCTGAGCTTTTATTCAGCAATGGAGCTGTCAATAGAAAACACATATTATGCAGTTTTAGCCGTGGGAATATTTTTGTATATTTTAGGATGTTTTCATGCTAATATTTCTGGAAATTTTCTGTCAGAGTGCAAAGTGGAAAAGGCTGAAACCTAACCGCTATCTACTGCTGTGTGTGTGTGTGTGCGCG